AGGGCCTTCAGGTTGCGGTGATGCGACCTGGGGGCCCTATTCCAACCTTGGGTCCCGTGAGGGGCCCGTGTGTAGGCTTTCAGCATGTAACAAAGGGCGTCAAAACGGCTTGAAGTTCTGGCCTGAGAGCCGGTTAACCGAGCCCTCATTTTTCACCTCAATTTATAAGAAAACCATAAGGCCATTTCAAGCAAACTCCACAGCAATGTATAGAGTGCACTTCTTACTAACATATTATGAAACACAAGCAAAAAAATAATAATAAAAAACACATAAAACAGCACCTCAAAAGTGCATTTTCAGGAAATTTTGCCAAAAAAATTTTCATCAAAATTTCAGGATTTTCAGGATGATCAACAGCACATATTCTACTAACCCTAATGACACCAAATTTGACACACAGCAAGCTTGTCCAAAAAAAAAAACAGGCAAAAAAAAAAAAATCCAAAAAAACACAAAATTTGACCCCGAACCCTAATTTCAGGATCATGCATGGTTACTCAGGGCCGAAAAGTGGGGGTCCCTGTTAACCGCTTGTGTTCTGGCCTCTATCTTAAATTTCAGTCATGTATACCTGGGTATCATGACAAGTCTATATGGTCCGAGGAGAGCCGAGTCATTGAAGATGGAAATCATGAGCCTGGAAGGCCAGGGCCTTCCTGGCGGTTCATGAACTACCGAGTAGTTCTGGGCGGGGAGCAGGAGTCCGGTGTTCTTTCGGTCCCGCCAGTTCAGGGAGGCCTACCGGTAGGCCTTTGTTTGATTTTGAGAAAGCGAAAGTGGAAAGCAAAGCTAGGGGCACACGTGATGGCGCCTGTTGGCGATCAGGCGATCACCCTTGTGTGTGCGCTTAGTTATGACAAACTGTTAGTAATTGGCTGTAAAGCTCTCTCTCTCATGCAGACTCAATGTACCCACGTAAAAGCCATATGCTTACACCATCATATCAGATGGTTGAACGAGGATATATTTTGACAATGCCTTGGCAGCACAAACACGTGCACAGATCCTGTCATGGGCTAATATTGGCACATATCTGATCTAGACAGTGTGCTAGGGTTGTGGGGTGGTTGTGAGTGAAGTCGATGACCGCCTTTTGCGAACTCTAGGAAATGTGTCGAGTCCTGACGACTTGCACGAATTTTGGCAAAGCAGTCTGTCAGAGTCAGCCCTTTTTTGGGAAAGGTAGCGAGTCCTTATCTAGCAGTGCAATGAATCGAGATCAAACTATTGGGATGCAGCCTCCTGATGAGATGGTTGAAGTCCGAGAGAGCAGTCGGCCACGATCACCCATTTCTTGTGGAGTCGTGCTCACCCGATGTACGGCGCTCAGTCAGATCCAGGGTGTCTGTGTGAGGGGCGTGCTAGTATGCGTTAGCCGGCAGATGTGGGGTACCTTGCACTCTGAGTTTTGTGGAGGGAAGGGGGTGGTACTGGTGGACTAAGGTGTCGTATGCGGGGATTTTCTGATCATCTATTCACAGATCGAGGACCCGGACTTGTCATATGCGGGGATTTTCTGATCATCTATTCACAGATCGAGGACCCGGACTTGGAGATAGAAAATGTTTAACTGTGGACGTCCAATGCAGCGACTGTACGGCGGTCATGTTCTGAGGGGCAGTGCGCTTGTGGTCTCGACATTTCAACCCCTGGACATGCACATTACACATGTGCAGATTTGGTGCTTGCTACTATGTGGCCTGGTCACACTGATCTGTTACACACCGAGACAACCATTCTCCTGGTGCATCTGTCCCAGTACAGCTATCCCAGAGGGGTGGGTGGTTTAGGGTTTAGATTCTGCTGTTTGTGATGGGGTTGTCTTTGCTTTTTGTTTTTCCCCCTTTTAATGCAACAGTGATGGAATCTGCTTCATTTGCTGGTGGATTGGTACACTGGTTTTGTATTCATTTTGTACTCAAGTTGCCCTGGTTATCCTTCTCTCTCAATGTCTCTCCATGCTTTCCATTTGTGTGTTTGTTAGTGTGTGAACTCACTGCTGTGGAACCCTTCCAGCTCCCCTCTGGAGCAGACCCCTTTTAGAGGCAGTTCTCAAACACACATCCCCCGGTGATTTTTGTGTTTTTTTTCCACCCCCTTGGAATTCTGATGGATTTGCAGGTGGAGAGAGTCTTTGGGGAGAGGTGTGAGCAGAATGAGAACGGGGAGGAGATCCAGTACTACCTGGTGAAGTGGAAGGGCTTATCGTATGAAGAAGCCACCTGGTGGGTTTTCAACTTTTCACCCCTCTAAGACCTTGGAACTATTTCTTTTCCCCCTCCTTTCTTTTGTCTTTTTTCTACAACTATGCTATATTTTTCTCTCTAAACTTCTCTCACTCTTCTCTAAAACTCTTTTGAATCCACCTTTTAGGCTTTTACTACCTACATAATATGCATCCCTTCGTTGTGCGAGGCAAAAAGCTATGCCTCTAGAACTATTTCTGAAATGGTATTTGAAAAATAATGATAGGTGAAGAAAAACAAAAAAAAGACCCAGGTGAAGAGCAGTGTTCGGCGTCATAATATGACGAGCTTCCAAGGCTCGCGAGTCACGTTCGCGACCGGCCCGGGCCCTGGCCCGAATCAAAAAGCCCTTACCTTGCAAATGGGGAAGTGCCGTACTCTGCTTTGGATGAACTGGCAGTTTCACTAACGGTTACGTGTTGATACGATTCAACGACATGAGTTGGGCACAGCAGACATTCTTCATTTTCTTTTTACTCGGGAGTCCACTAGCACTCTGGAAGTCAGGTAAGGATCTCTTTCCCTCCCGTTGTCTTGATCTCTTTCTCTTTCTGTAGTTTGTTTAAAATTTTAACCCTTGGTTCTTTCAGTCTTCTCCTCACACCCGGTTTGTGCCTCTCTCTTTGACTCGTCTTTTGTTTTTTGTACATGAAGAAAACAAATGTAATGCCAGGGATTATGCACCAGATTACGAGTCTCTTTGCCCATAACTTCTTTCTCTCTGATCCCATCACTCCAGGAGTTTCTCCTTTCTTTCTCGTAGAAAGGTTGTTGCTTCCTGTGAAAGGCCATTGTTTTTTTTTTTTTAATTGTGTTTTTTTTTGGCCATTATTAAGATTATTAAGAGGTTGACAGATGCTAGGCATGTCACGACATTTTAAGTGCCCAGTGAAAGGGCGAAGAGGCACTGCTGTCACTTAAAACTTAAATTTCTCTACCGCGCGGTCAATCCCCCTGGGCAACGGGGGGTAATCAATGCTGGCGGCAACAAAAAAAAGGAAAAAGAGGTTAGCCCCTTTCTCTGTTTTAGTCGTCTGAGGCCATTAGGATTCGAGCTCATGAGCTGATTATTAACAGTCGCATGTGCGTGTACCATGCAGGCACACAGGCTGGTTGGAGAAAAAACTGTCATTTACTGTGCCTAATCGAAAAATTGCTGGTTGTGTTGCAGGGAGAAGGACACAGATATCGCTTTCGCACAGGATATGATCGATGAATTTAAGGTGCGTGTACCAGTCCTTGTGTAATCGCAGCTGTGATGCTGGCTTCCTTTGCGCATTTTCTTAGTCCCCCCCTGTTCATTCGCACTGTTCTTCGTCTGGCAAAGAAGTAAAAATGTGAAGCCTGGCGATCCCCTTTCTGAGCATTTTCAAACCGGTTTGCCGGTTTTTGATATGTGTAAGTCCTAGATTCTCCCAAAGCGCCGTGTATTGTTTCCTGTTTAAGAAGGATGTAATGTTCTTAATTTCGTTCATGTTTATTTTTCCGTTCTCCTTCGTTTTTTCCCCTCTTTCTCTTGCCTCTTTTTGAACTCTCGTTGATTCGTTTGTTTAAGTTTGTTATCTTCTTCTCTTTACTGAGTTTCCTTTTCGCTCAGCAGGGAGTTTTTCATGCTCTGGGGTGAGACATGCCCTTGTTTGGCTGTTTCCGCTTAACCAGCACACTGTGGAACCTCATACTGAGACAATTGCCTGTGTTCCTTCTCTTGTTGTGGCCATTTGTGTGGGCGCTGGAACTATGTGGAGGGGGCGGTTGGCATGTGCAGGTACGGGAGGATAATGCGTCGATTGTGGGAAGGACGGTAGACAGCGTGCGCCGACAGTTCAAATGTAAGATTTAAAGCGTACTACTCTGCCTATTGGCTGAGTCGGTCTTTATGAACTCTTTCACGAAGTTTCGGCTGGGAAAAGTGCCTCCTTGAGTGAGTGGTCTGTTCTCCTGTGAAAGCAATGTCTGGTGTGAGTACGCGCTGAGTGATATGCGCCTTTAGGTTCGAGGGTTGCCTGGTTGCTGCCTGTGTGCACGTGTCCTTCTTATACTCTTGCTTCCTGAGTGATATACCGCGTCGTGTTGATGGTTGCTTGGTGTGCATGTGTTTTTCTGATGCTTGTTGTACCCCGCATGTCTGTGGAAAGTATTTGTGTGCACTGCGCCGGCATGGGTGCTCTCGACAGCGTTTCTCGATTTATGCATGTCATCCTTGTGCAGGGGCCATGCTGCTAATCTTCTGAGTAACAGATGTCCCGAGGGACATGGGTGCTCCTTGCGGTGCCTGAGCACACAAGAAAATCCCAGAAATGACTTGGAAAAAAAAAACAAAAATCAATAAACTGCGTAGCTAGTCTACCAGCCGAGCCGCCCGAGTCACCTTGTTTGCCCGGGCGGCCCGGCCATGAAAGGACCAAAGAAGGTACCAGTAAAAAAAAAGCAAAAAAAAAGCTATGTGCTTCAGAAACATAAACTGCACAACTTTTCCACGAGGGTCATATTGAAATTCTTTTCCAAATTTAAAATTGAAGGCAAACTAAACGTAATAAAGTGATATTTTTATTTTCATTTTAATTTGTTGTTTTTGTTTTTGGCCCGGCCGGGCAAGTTGCCCTGGGCTGCTCTGGTAGCCTAGATAGAAAGTGCGCAGCCTTTTTTTTTCAAAGGTATGTCGCTTGGACAGCTCTTGGTTCTCTGTGTGAATTGGGTGGCTGCGAAGTGTGGCAAGGAGGAGGACTCGCAGACTGCCATAGCAACTCGGCGCTTTAGAATCTGTCTTTGTCTTTCAATTGAATCAATCGGTACTAGGACACCTGGGGTGGGGGTTGGAAGGGCTGGAACTTGGGTTTGATTGGGTTTGATGTTTGGACTTCGAAGGGGTCATCTTGGCTTCTTTTTCTATTTTATTTTTGCATCTTCAAGTTAAAGGAGGAGCTAGGAGATGATTCTCGACGAAAAGTTTGCATTGCAGCTAGGTCCAAGGCTGGGCTCTACACTGTGCCTAATCGAAGAAACGGCCTACCGGTCCCCCAACTTTCAGGAGGCGGGAAGAGGGGTGGTTGAGGGGGTTGATTCTAGTTTACAAGGGCCATTTGACTGGAACGACATCTTCAACTCTTATTTGTTTTGTTGAATTGATAAACTCGAAAGCTGATGTGAAACAGCTTGTTTCAGTTTTTTTATTTTTGTTTTTGGTATTTTCTATGTTTGGTGAGCTGCACCAGTCTTTTTGTCACGTTTTGTCACGTCATATGAGGCTGACAAAATGGCACCTCGTCTGTTTGGCCAAATAGAGTGGGTGAAAAAGGAAACCTGGAGGAGGAAATCTCGATATTGCGATAGGCAATTGGTATTTGTTGGTGATTTACCTGTCGCTGATGGAGATGGTTAGCGAAAGCGGAAGGTCATGAACCTCAAGCTACAGTTTCCTCAGAATTGCAGGCTTCAACTGATGTCTTTTTTCAGTAAAAATTTACTAAAATTTAAAAAAACGAAAAAAAATTAAAAAAATTCAGTAGCCTAATATGCATGCGTGGTGTGTTTGGGATGATGTGTCAGCAAGTCTGCGGAGTTTGACAACTCAGCCACCTTGGCTCAAGGAAGGGACATTGCGCGACTACCAGCTGGAGGGACTTAATTGGTTAATACTCAGGTAAGTAGTTGTGTGCAGACCTCTGCTTGGACTCACACTATTGTCTGTCTTGGTACTCGATCATCTAAAGTATTATAATCTGAATAGCTTGATGGCTGCCGGGCTGCCTGCCATTGGATAACTTAGCCCACTAGCTTATCCATGGATTATTAGAGCAAATGATGGTATTGCAATGAACATTATTAGTAGGATGGGAAGAAAAATTGTCCGAATGTGTCGTCGCCTGGTTGCCAATCTCTGAGCCCTTGTATGTGCACTCGTCTGGTTCAGGTGCCTGGTCTCTGGCTGCCTAACGCTTGTTTGTATATATATTTGTTCGGTTCTCTATGTTGTACCAGTCTCTGGCTGCCTAATTCTTGTTTGGATATACTATATACTGTATGTATTGTTTGGTTCTCTATGTTGTACTGTGTCACCTCTGCTTTTCCATCTATTAGCTCGAATATTAATTTCCTCTGTTGCTATGTTGGGTCGCAGTTGGCATATAGAGAGCCCTTGCTACGTGCAAGGTTTGAAAGTTTAATGAAAAGGGGGTCTGTCTGCGGCTACGTCAAGGGACTGGAGTCTTTACAGCTGTATTGGGGGCGATTTTCAGGCCAAGTACAGCTATAGGGACACGGAGCTCCGTATTTTGGAGACAGGACGCTGTAGTGAGTTTGCAGATATTTCCGTCAGATCTTAGTAAATGGCATTCTTGAAGCCGATGGATCCCGTACCCCCCCCTCTTGAGCTTATTGACTACCGTCTTCCCCCGAACATAATGCATTTGCGTTGTAAACGAATACAACGCATAGGATGCGTTCTATTTGAGTACAACGCATATGGATTCTATTCGAATAGCCCTAAATTTCGAATACAATGCATATGCATTCTATTCGATTTTTTTTCAAATTTTGAAACTCGAATACAATGCATATGCGTTATGACCGGGGTAAAAAGGTAGTACTAGAGGTGATGACCTTGACAGCCTCAGGATATAGCCACATCAAGGATGCATCCGACGACAATTCTGGCCTGTCCTGGATGTATCTGACCGCAGCTACGTCCAGAAACAAGGCCAACAAGAGGCCTAGTTTGGGTATCCCCTCAAATCTTCTTCTTGTCTCTCTCGTCTGCTTGTCACAAGTTGAACAGCTGGCGTTCTTAGAGAAGTCCCAAACGGAAGAAAAAGAAGAAAAAAAAGCCCCAAACGGAAGAAAGGAAAGAAATGCACAGAAAAGATCGACGAAAAGAAGGGTTTTAGTGTGCTTCATGTTGTCCGATCCTTCTTTGAAATGGGAAATCGCTTTTTTCTTTTCCCCGCGTGGTCTCTGCAGCTGGCGGAATGAAAACAATGTCATCCTTGCGGATGAAATGGGACTTGGGAAAACTCTACAGTCTGTCTCCATGCTTGGCTACCTTCAGGTATTGCCCTTTTTTCTGTTTTTATTTTTTTGTTTTGTTTGGGATGCAATCGCGCTACCCCCCGTGCGGCAGGGATCCACACTTGCTCTATCCCATCCCTCACACCAACCCTAGACCACTCAACACAGTTGTAAACCCTGCAATCCCCCTTCCGGTATTGCCCTGTGGTTGGTATGCTGGGGAATGATTTAATAATGCTGATGTGGAAATTGGATTTGGAAATGGATTTGGAAATGGATTTGCATTTTCTCTAATTTCTCTGCTTATTAAGTGTGAATTTGTTATGCAGTTTTCAGCACGTACGCTCCCAGAATGGAAATGAAGGCAGGGCCATAAGGTCCTGTTTATTTAAAAATGAAAATAATTGTTATGCAGTAGTCTTGAATCGAGTGACATTCTTTTTGTCTTTTTGTCAGTTTTGGCAGTTTAAGCCCGAAAAGTTTGGCGAAAACCTGTTCTGTGGTACTGCTCCCAAGAGCTCATGTTTCGCCTCCCCCCCCCAACTGCTCTCCCCTGCCTTTGAATGAGGAACCATCATGACAGCTGCGTGGGATAAAGTGCTGAGCATAGACTTATGGTACGAATTATTAGAGACTCTTAAGGTGGAGATGGTCGAACAATTATTTAGGGGGAAATTAGGGATTATGTCAGACCTCAAGTTCACCCCTTGCAGCTGTGGGAATACATATTGTTGTTGCATGTCAGTCCATCGTGGTTGGTTTCCTCTCTTGTGATGTTGATGATACTTTCTTGTGCACATGTATGGGTGGTAGAGGAACAGTGAACGGACCCCTTTGTCTGCTTAGGGGGAAATTAGGGATTATGTCAGACCTCATGTTCACCCCTTGCAGCTGTGGGAATCCGTATTGTCGTTGCATGTCAGTCAGTCCATCATGGTTGGTTTCCTCTCTTGTGATGTTGATGATACTTTCTTGTGCACATTTATGGGTGGTAGAGGACCACTGAACGGACCCTTTTGTGTGCTGGGCTGGGGCAAAGCTCCCACCACTTATCATTGACCCTGCCTGCCTTGCTATATAGATTGATAAAATCAGTAGCGAAAATGAAGAATTTGCGCAATTGGAACCTTGCCCCGGGCCGAGGTTCTAGCATTCCCTGCTGTTGCTCGCTGTCTGGTTCTCTGTACCTCTCTCTCTCACTCTCTCTCTCTCATTTACCGACCTTGTCCCTTCTCCATTTTCTTTTCTTTTCTTCTGCGTTTCTTGAATTTTCTTCCCTGTGTGCTCGATGAATACTGGCAATCATTCTCGGCGCTCATTCTCTGATTACTCTATTTCTTTTTTGCTCCTTTCTGCTTTTAGCGTTCCTCGTTGCTTCTCACTACTCAATTTGTCGTCCTGCTCTTTTTATCCTTGATTTTCACTGTCCTCTTCTGCTCTACAACAGTCCATATCCCCATCCGTCACCTGCCCCCCCCTTCCTGCTTCCCCTAGGCTGTCGTTTTTGTTGTGTTTTGACCCCTTCGCTGTGTTTGCTGAAACCAGGCCAGTAGTTATTCTTGGTGCTGATGCCACCCTTTGCTGTGTTTGCCGAACCCAGGCCAGTAGTTATTCTTGGTGCTGATGCCCCTCTCTTTCCATTTCCGCTCTCTCTCTCTGCACTCTTTTACTCCTCTCTCTGCCCTTGTGTTCTATAGTTTCAGCAGCAGATACAGGGTCCGTTTATGGTGATTGTCCCATTATCGACAATCACAAACTGGGCAAAGGAGTTCCGCAAGTGGCTGCCGGAGATGAATGTCGTCATGTACATTGGCAATCGCAAAAGCCGAGAGGTACACAGACTTGATGTTTTTGGATGAGTTTGTGTTGGGATGACATTGTGTGAAGGCGGAGGGCTTCCTTGAAGG